CGATGCATCTCTCGGATTTTTAAAGAGGACCATGTAGTGAGCATTCAGACTGATGGTGCGATGTTGCGGCGATTGAGCAAACAAGTTCTGAGTGAGATACAGCACAGATGTGTTTCGGTGATGACTTTTCTTGGTGAACCATCGCAGCACTTCAGTTTCTTCTTCTTTCGTATTGTCCCCCAGCAAATCATCGATGACCAGCCAATGTGGGGCCACCCCTTTTTCGGGCAAGGCACGATCCGCTTCTTTCATGCTGTGGACAAACTCAAGAGCGACCCCTAAGCGGTCTGCCATCTCTTCCAGTTCATGATGAAGCGGTTGCCATTCGCTGTACACCCACACGATGCGATGGGGTGACGTATCCAACACCTCGGGGCGATGCATCTGCTCCATACATGATTTCACAAAGGAACTTTTTCCTGATCCCGTGGGTCCCGCAATGAACATCGTAAAAGGATGGCGTAGGGTCAAAGGGCTGGTCATGACCTCGTCATCATCATGTGATGCCATCCTGTGTTCTGGCTGACTGACACCAGGCAATTGATCCTTTCAAGTATGACCTTTCTCTTTTATCTGTTATTTTTTTCTTCCTATCTCTCCCATGACCCATACAATTTCTTATGAAAAAAAGAAACACAACGGTCGGTCCGATTTAGAAAACCGGGGCTCAGATCAAGTGTGGGAACGAACCCATCAGCACGATGCGTTTTCGACCAATCAGGAAGCAGGGTGTCAGTGCCTCTCCTATAAAAAGAGCGAGGCCACGCACACCGTCACAGTCGAGCACTGAAGGAGAGATCAACCATGTCGTCTCGATGCAGCTGTCTGACGTGCCAGACCAACAGTCAACAATGCCAGCGGAGGATGAAAGTCTATTCGTGGACAATAGTGGGCTACCCACGGGGTGAATGGAAGACGATCCTATCGCAGAGCCCACACTGGTTTAAGAACAAGTCTGAGGCTATGTCAGCATTACAACAAACTATTCAACGCGGAATTGACATACCCGACTGTTGGGGTGGTCCGTATTATTATCTAGTATCGAGATCAAGGAAAGTAATGTAATCAAGGAGACAACCCTTGTCCAGCTTGTTTCAAGTTTGTTTTCCAACGGCCCTTTTCAGGGCCACCCATCTCTCCCGAAAGAACGCTTTCCTCCTTTGCTTTGACGACCCCTCCAACCCCCACACCGTGAACCCACCTCCTCCCTCCCTCCCTTCACCACCACCACCACCTTTTCTATGTTTAGAACAACAACAACAACAACAACAACAAAAGATTTTTGACGCTCTTCTTTCAATGTCGATCCTGTTCACCTTTTACGTGCGCTTCTCCGGGTTTTCCCCCATCCTCCCCGGACACGGAGGCGACGCCCCTCTTGGAGGGGCGCACGCCACCGGACACGGACGTGCCGCCCTCTTGAATGCGCACGCCACCGGAAACGGATGTGCCGCCCTCTTGAATTCGCGCGCCACCGGAAACGGATGTGCCGCCCTCTTGGAGGCGCGCGCAAGTCCCATCATGCCCCGCGCACATGCGCAGGTCACGTGACCGGAAGTGGCGTCACAGAGGTCACGTGATCCTCTCGACCAATCAGAAGCCAGGAGCGGTCCTGTAATCCTGAGGCGGTCCTACGCTGTTGCATACAACTACTATGAATATTTTCATTTTTTTCGAAAACACGTGTCGCCAGCGGGGTTCGAACCAGCATCGTTAGATTTGAAAACGTGTTATTGTCAACCTCAGCTACTGCGGCACATGAAGGCATGATGTGAAATTAACTATTAATGGTTTCATAATTTTGCATAATGCTTAAAAGCTCAAAATAATATGTATATATTGTGTGTTAGAGCAGGTTACCCACAACAATGTTTATATTTATAGCAGTTAGATAAACCTTTGACGAGAAAAAACAAATAAGGAAACATAAATATCGCTTGTTCGGGGCTTTATATTTCCAATTATACCCATGAGCATGTATTAACAATGTGCAAGCGATTGATCAATACTAGTTTAGGACCCAACAAAATTATGAAGAGCCGTGTACCATGCATTGTAAATGTCAACTCGCCACGGAGCTTGGCGCACGTGCAACAGCGGCAGAGAACGCATTCCTCGTGCATCGCGCAAGGTCCACTCACGCAGTATAAATACAGACAACAAAGAGTTCTGGTTTATTTTTCAAATATTTTCAACTACAGAATATTTTGTCAAAGTGTAAAAGTAGGGATGAGTTTTAAGTAGGGGAATATCCTCGTAACTCTCCATTCCTTAAAAATAATGGGCCTGGCCCCTGAGGGGCCTCTGCTCCATTATTTTTAAGGAATGGAGAGTTACTCGGACATTCCCCTCTACATTATGATGAAGACAATTACGACCTCGCTGTACGGAGCTGATCCCCCCCCCCCCGCGTATTAAGTCCTCCATTTGCCGCCAAAATTAAGTTTGTGTTTTTATCTTTTTTGGAGCGATTTCAAAGACAATGAGTGATGTACCATCAACTTTATTGCTATTTGGTTCCCACTCAGATTTCATAAAATGCCTAGAATATTGCTCTAGTAGATAACTTGAGGTGTCGGATTTAGCCGTTTTATGGTTTGATTGCATTGTGTTTTACAATATCACCGAGGCATTGCGTTGCTATCACTATTGTCTCAAGTATCCTCGTGTCATGGAAGTTCGATCACTTACGAAAAGTCGCTGAATATTCATAGTAACATTCATATAGATCTAGATATCTAATCTTTTTTTCAAATATCTTACCTGTGAACTTTTTTATTTATGACAAACATTTCCAAAATCCACGTATTTTCCATTGAAATTGACACTCGGGGCATGGCCGCCCTCTCACTGTCAACAGAAGTGGCCCAGAAAGCTACGTCACAAAAGTTCGATCATTTGATTGGTTGGCTTGTCGCATAACCGGGATAACGTGTATGGACGATCTCTTGTTTCAAAATCCGAATTAGAACAGTCCGCAGTTGTTTTATGACATCTTTGACCATCAAACGTTCATTTTATGTTTTAATATTGAAAAAAAAAACCGATGAAAAGTCACAAATATCCAGATTATTTACAAGGTTGATGCAGGGAGTTATTCTTCAGGCTCATCATGACAGGGGCACCAAAACTCAGAATGTCGACGCACAACACGAACTGGCGTGCAGAAACGTAAATGTGTCCAGTGCTGACATGTAGGGTGGGTACATTGTGCCCAGGTTGTTATGATCAGGGAGACATTAGCTCGAACCTCATCAGGTACAAATTTGCTACATTTGCAGCAGAGTTCGTCATCACTTGTCACATCACTATCAAAACTATCGTCCTGATGCGCGTTGGACCGTGAAGTTCCAGTACTTGCATTCTTTGCAGTGACAGTAGTTGTTTTTTTGAAAAGATTTACTTGGTTTAGGTGCTTGTTTTCTTTTTTTGGGTGCCGATTTCACAGTCTGGTGGGAAATAATTTTATTCAGAATGACGTCTTCGGTGATGGCCTTGCCCCCGACAACAGCGCTCAGAACGTTTCTCTTTTTAGTAGGCACAGCTTTCTTGAAAAGTACAGTCGACTTGTCTTTAAAGAATCCTGCTACATCATTGCCCTCAGTAGGTGAAGTGGCAACCTTGTCTCCAACTGGCACACATGAATCAATAACACCAGCAAAGGTTCAGACGACTTAAAAACTGTTGATGGCGCAAAGTTGATATTGGCGGTGGTAGACTTGTCAAATGGATAGACTCCACATTTCCTAAAAGAGGATTGCAGATTTGTTGGTGTAAGCGACAGGTTATAAGCTCTACAGCCAAGTTCACAAACAGAATGTTTATCAACAGAACTTGTGGCATTTTCCCGCATATACGTATGACGGAGGTTGTTGTAAATTTTAGCAAAAGGTCCAAAGCAACCAACATCCATTGGCTGTAAAACATGAGACGTGTGTGCAGGCAGTACAAACAAAATAATGTGATGTCGATGTGCCCATTCGATGAGTGGAATATATACGTGGGATCTATGACCATCACACACAATAAGAAGTGGACCATCTGCAGACGCGGCGACAGCTTGCTTCAGGAAATGCTCTGTCAGATAGTGCTGAAAAATCTCCGTGTTTGACCAGCCAGAGTCGCTTACAGTGCCTGCTGCTCCAGGGGTACTTCCTGAAAGGAGTTCTTCCCGAATCCTCTTGCCCCTGAATACAAAATACGGTGATATAGAACTACCAGACGCATTGCCGCAACCTTTAACAGTTGTAGTACTTGATCTTGATGTTGTGACAGCAGCTGGAGTACTCTGACTCGATGTAACAACTGATGGTGGGGTATGATGCTCCATAAGTCCCTTCTCGTCAACATTATAAATGCGATGAGGGCATGTCTTCAGGTTGTACTTATCCATGATGTGCCCAAGCTCATTAAAATAATGAGTGATCGTCTCCTCTGAGGTAGCTTTTGCTCTCTGTATCTCAAGGGATCGTGGCTTCTTCACTGACAGATCAGGCCATCGCTTCATAAACCCATAGAACCACTGAAGTGATAGGGGTTGTTCATCCTTTGACTTCTTTCCAACATATATTGCTAGGTCTGTGGCAATAGTAGTAACTTCAGCCCTTGTATAGCCATACCCAAAATTTGCCATGGCTTCAATATGTGAAACAAGTCCCTGTTCTTCTTCCATGGACAATAGTGGTTCTCTACCAGTGGTACTACATTCAATAGAAATCTTCCCACTAATCCTGTCATGCAGTGTAGCAAATGGAACAGCACAGGTAGTGGCAGCTTTCCTAATTGCCATTCCATCTAAAACAGCATTATATGCCTTGTCTAGGGCTGCAGACAAATATTGCCTATATTGACCTCTTCTGGTTGGTTCACCATTGGTCAAAACCTGCAAAAATAAAGGTTTATTTTATATATCACCAAAACTCCAGAGACAGAAGTTCTCAAAAAGCATAACGGTTTCAATAAGAAATGACCCTAATTTGTTTCCATAGTTTTAAATTTTGGCGACCACATCACGTGTCTCATCACGTGACATTTACACCATGAACGTAAACAAGCAGACGACAGGTGTGCCGTCGATTTACAACGTGTGCATTTATTACAATTGACATTTTATTTGAGCTGATCAAGTTACATTAGTGATCTCGGTAAAAAGTAGTTGTTTGCTGAATATGAGCTATTACTTACGTTTGGTAACTTGACACGAAGCATTTTCCGGTCCAAGCGAACGAAAGTGGTGTTGTCAGAAGATCAAAGCTGCAGGTACCGTAATTTCTCGTTACATTTCGCGAGAATTATCATTCAAAATGGTTGATCGAACCTGCACGTTGATGCTTATTTTAGAAACTCCCCGGCGAGCTTCCACGTGCATTTGTATGAAAGTGATTGTTGAGTTATCAGTGATTGTTGAGTTATCAGTAATTATTAAGCCTGCATCATATACCAGCTGTTCAGGGACTGGAAAGCACTAAGTCGAAATGCCTTCATGTTCCTTGTACAAATTTAACCTATTTATAAAATTCGCCTCCCAATATGCACGTCGGTCTATATAATTCTTGGAAATATCATTACAAGTAGGATGTTTTATATTGTAGAAAGAAAACCCTTTACCAAATGTTATGTACCTCACATGGCATGCATTTGCAGATGTTTGGGTGTATCTATCTACATGCACATTTTGGCATTATAAACATGGGAAACCTCAAGTGTGATCGAGGGCCTAATCCTGTAGCATGTCATTGTGTGGTATACATGTGGAAACCTTGAGGGTAGATAGGTAGATGTTATCAAGTAATCAGAGAGCTGATTTGTCAGTTACATGACATTGTATTTGCAATGTGGTTGCTGTTAACCCTATTATAACTACAGTCAAGTCCCTTTAATCCAACAGTCGACTTCTTCCGACACAAATGATGGGAACCGATTACATCAGTGTTGATTAACAGTTCACACACTCCGACCCCGACCCACCTAATTTGCAACGGATTGCTAAAATCACCCATAAATCAGTCTTGTTAATCCAACGGTGTCTGCCCGCCCTCAATCTGCAAACACATCTGAATCATGTGTAGACTCACTGCAACTGTAATCAGTCAATAACTCTTTACTAGTTTTGATCTTCTTAAGCGCTTTATCTGTAAACACATCCGCATCGTGCATAGACTCACTGCCAATAAGCTGTAAGTTCATAATCTTGTGGTCTGTTTAAATTAATTTTATTTTTGCTTTGTGCATTTGGTGTATTTTTTACTCTTTCTGAATAACTCATTTATATCATAAAGCGTATTTCTACTAATGTATTTCTGTATGCCTCGTTCATATCATAAAACAGTGTGCATTCACGGCTAATCCATCGATTTGGCGATTGCTGTACCAACAGCAGAATTACGACTTTCTCGGGAATATCTGAGCGTTCCCGGTCCGTAACCGTGTGACTGACCGTGTGTTCACAGCCCTGTATTTTGACGCTAGACGAATCGACAAGTGGCTGCAAATTGCAACCAAATGTCCTTATTTCAGTACATGGAAAAAGTTTCAGTAAATTTCTGTTATAACCATGATAACGCGAAGAGAGGGAATCAAAACATTCAAAATAGATCTTTCCCATCGAGTGTGAGTGAATATTGCTTAACGCCGCATCAGCAATTTTGCAGCTATTCGCGGCCTTTCCCATCGACTGATTGTACCAGTTATCGTCATCATCTAAAAAACATGTGCCACATGATCATGCGCACCTCTTCAGTTATGCAAATTACATTTTTCATGCAGTTTTTGTGGTTTACAGATGGTAGAACAAGAAACATGTTTAATGACTAGATGATGTGCTGATAATGTCAATATATGTAATAAGTCATCCAGACAATAGTACATATGAACACGCCTTGATTATGTTAGTGTGATAAATGCGCAGTAAGTAGTGGCTCTATTTTCATTAAAATGTGGAATATTACATTATATTTGCAATATCATTATCAATGAATGAAGGAATAAACAATATGAATAATTGAATTTATAATTTTATTACATCATGCATGTATCGTTATCTATCGTGTAGTTGTGACTGTCCAATTTTAGATCATGACCGTTGATAATACTAAATTTAGTTTATCCGACATAGTCGTTAATCCTACATAATCATATCGGATTAACGGGACTTGACTGTATTGTACATTTGTGAAAATGTGATATCTGGGGTCACGGTTGGACCAGTCGCCTAAGGCGCCACAACTTCCTATTACATCCCTTTCCTGCCTGGAACAACTGGTCATGTGATTGAATCCCAGATTCATCCTGAATATGTTCTGTCAGAACCAGAACCATGCTCGTGTGTTTCAATAAAGTGGCAAACATTGGAACCTGCACGACTTTAAGCTTTCCTCCCACATCAAGTTGACCACACTGATATGAATGTTACCCTGTTGAAATGGCTTTAAAGCCCACTCACTCACCATGCTCCCTGTGAATGTCTAGGGAAATATCTTTTAATTTAGGATAAACTTAATTTCTATATGTATTTGAGTTGATAAATATACATATTTACTGTAGGGTCTACTATCATGCGATTAACCAGATATCTCTCTTGTAAGATCCAACTTTCTCCATTTTTAGATGCCACTAACTCGGAGGTCACAAGATAGTGACTCTGTCACACCTCATCAAGATGCTGTTGAGCATTGTATGACCGGAGTGGACAAAGAAGACTTCACTGTTCGCTTCATTAGCCAATATAAAGGTATGGTATCCTGATTAACACCAAAACTTGAATTCCCTACTTTAGTTTATATGAAGAGAAATGTTGCAATTTCAAAATATAATATTGATGCTGCACACAAGTATGTAAATTCTGTAAATATAAGCCAATTTTACCAAAAAAATACAACTCTGTTTTTTATTTTTTGACCTAATTGTAAAATTTCTTCCACTACTAGGACAAGGCGTGTTTACAACAAAACACTTCCAGATGGGTGACTTTCTGTTGGAGTACATAGGGCAAACCTTGTCTGCTGTTGAGGGGGAAGAACGCTTGACTTGGCCTGATGTGGGCAGTTTCTTATTTTTTGTGAACAAGAATTTGTGGTAATTTGTTTTTTTTGGATCACCAGAATTTCTAAATAAATTTGAGTAGCAACGCTGAAAAATAAAATATGTTGAATGTTTTGGTTAGTTTTACATCCAAACCAAAAATATACACCTACAGGATTTTGGTTAATTTTAACATTTGTTTATGAATGTAAAAACATTTGGTTATGAATGTAATCAATTCACTTTGTGAGTTTTTATCTGATTCGGATTTCATTGGCCGATACTTCAATTTCAGTATTGATGCAACTGACAGCAGATGCTATGGTAAATTCGTGAATGACAGCATGACAAAAAGGAGAGCCAATGCCTTTATGAAGCCCCTTTACCTTCGAGACAAAACGCATTTGTGTTTGTTTGCCAAGAGGGATATTTCACCAAACGAAGAAGTCACATACTATTATGGACCCACAGATGAACAGATGTACTGGAGATTGGTAAGCTATTTTTAAAAACCTAAGTGATGTGTTTATCTGTCATCTGTGTATGTGGGGAATGCCTTTTATATGAGCGTGGCTCATGTCAAGGGTGAAAGTGAGGGGTTACACAACATTCTGCTGTTGCCATAACAAAAAATAATTGTCCTATTTTGATGAAGCTTAACATATTATAATGTATAGGCCAGTGTCCCAAGCTGATTAGGTTTTTAGGGTTAAAGGTGAAGATGACAGTTAAGTGTATTGTGAAACATTGGTTATATTAGTCACTTTCTCAGGTACTTGACAGTTGCTTCTACTATCACGAGACTTTATATTTGGATGCATCGTAATGAGGCCTAACCTAAGTGTTAATTTAGGTATAGTTAATGCCACATTGATATTTGACTAAATGTTTAAGTCATCGAAATGAAGAGATGGTAAATTTATGTTTTAAAGTGAAAAGTCAGTCAAGAATGGCACAGTGGGTTGAGTGTTATTTTCAAACAATTATCATTATCAATTAGGATACCCCCTCTCTTGTCGTTTGTCTGCAGTAGTACCTTCCTTTGAATACTGAAAACCCTTCTATGTACATTTCTATTGAAACCCTGCTCATACAACATGTACAAGGCTATATCAACCAAATCGGGTTACAGAACATTTTTAAGGAATAGGTGTCCCTTACATCAAGTTTTGATTGAAAATGGATGGTTCTTATGATAGATTACCTGTAGGACAATACACATGATACATGGGTTTCATTATTCTCAACATTTGACACATATAAAAAAGAATGGCTGCGTGACAAGATTGTTTTAAGTTCTTTTATGTGTTGATGTTATTAGCTGTTGGCTTGAAAGGCCTAAAATAGCTGTAAAGTACATTATAAAACTGTAAAGTGCATTGTGAGCAGAAAAGGTTTGTCAAGGGCTCTCTCAGTTATTGTGGTGTCCATCAACACTTTTCTAGTGTAATCCAGCTTTTCATTTTTATGGCTGTTGGTCCTTAGGTCCATTAACTTTTGAATCTGGATTTCAAACATGGTCTCAGGACAACAGTTGCTCTCATTAGACTAAAGATTTGATAATACTTACAGATAAACTATTTCAGTTTTGATCTAGTGGATGATTAAGACACAACTTGCATTAGAGAAGAACTTGTGGAAAGCACTGCTTCTGTCAGTAATTGTTTATTCAATATATTGTTACAGGACAAACAGCCAGAACAGTTTTATAACGCAGGTAACATGGACATGACAAATGAAAATTGTACATAATTTAAATTTTATCCATTTGCTTTAAATTTTGTTGTTTGTTGGAATTGATCTTCCAATGTTGCAGGCGGAAAATCTTTGCATGAATCCTTGTTATTGTTGTCACCTTAGTAATTTTGTTTGGTTGTGTGAAGTTTGTTGTTATTGTCTCACCGTGCTAACAAGTATGATACATCCAGGTTAACTTGGTTATTCTGCTGCATGTTCTAAATATGAAACAAATTTAGTTAGAGGACAGTGGTAGAAACTAACATTTTTAGCCCACTAGTCCTTATAATGATAACATATAGCAAAACCCTTAAAAATGGCAAATTGGGCAGTTTGGCAAGGACTAGGGGACTAGTGCCAATTTCTCACTCATTGCCATTCGGAATTTGAAATGCTAATTTAACAAGCTGAAATGAAACCTTTATTTACAAGTTATACCTCTTCAAAACTGCTGCAAATAGTACTGGAGTGTGCATGCACCTCTTTCAGCATGAATTTTTTATATGAGACCAATAAACGTGTTAAATCTATATGTACATGGTTCGCATGAACCTTGATAAGTACTTAAATTTCAGTGTCAGTCTACTGATAAGGAACTGTTAAAATATTATTTACAAATTGGTCCTCTCTTTAATGGTTGTTAGTTTTTAATAGTGATATTTATAACTCAGCACCTTAAGATATACGTGCATATTTTATTGTATGGAAACATTCCACATTTCAGAAACCCCCGAAAGACCTCCAGTTGAAAGACCACCGACCAGTCCAGTTCATATGTCTATCGGTACTTCAGTAGAAACCCCCGACAGACCTGTTGAGAGACCACCGATCAGTCCACTTCATACGTCCATCAGTACTTCAGGAGAGACCCCTGACAGACCTCCAGTTGAAAGACCACCGATCAGTCCAGTTCATACGTCCATCAGTACTTCAGGAGAGACCCCCGACAGACCTGTTGAGACCCCCGACAGACCTGTTGAGAGACCACCGATCAGTCCAGTTCATACGTCCATCAGTACTTCAGTAGAAACCCCTGACAGACCTCCAGTTGAAAGACCACCGATCAGTCCAGTTCATACGTCCATCAGTACTTCAGTAGAGACCCCGACAGACCTGTTGAAAGACAGCCAATCAGTCCAGTTCATACGTCCATCGGTACTTCAGTAGAAACCCCTGACAGACCTCCAGTTGAAAGACCATCGATCAGTCCAGTTCATTCGTCCATCAGTACTTCAGGAGAGACCCCCGACAGACCTGTTGAAAGACAGCCAATCAGTCCAGTTCATACGTCCATCGGTACTTCAGTAGAAACCCCTGACAGACCTCCAGTTGAAAGACCACTGATTAGTCCAGTTCATTCGTCCATCGGTACTTCAGTAGAAACCCCCGACAAATCTCCAGTTGAAAGACCACCATGCGCTCCAGTTCATACCTCTGTCGGTACTTCAATATGCTGTTCTGCATCACTCAACCTGCTTCAAGACGCAGCCAGACCAGGTCCTATTGACACACGTAAGTTGACTATACTATACACACATAACTCCAGTTATCATCTGGTATTTTATCATTTTAGCTCTTCTGTCCCGCAGCGGTAGCCATAAACCTTTCACTTTTCTACTTCTGAAACCGCTTGATAGATTGAGGTGAAATTGTGTGTGTATCTTTGTCACCACAAGGGGGTTCAACTTTATTCAAGACATGAAAATGACAATTTCCATATGACAATCTTTGATTTTCTGCAGAAAAAACCCCTTAGCCCTGGTGATTTGTTGAAGACATTTGCACCACTTTTGCAGATTAATTTCATAATTAGGCTCTGAATATAGGCCACATCGACTTTCAAGTCTTCCTAATTGACCAAGTGTCTCTAATACCTGTTAATATAAACTGAATTGAACCACACTTTGCCTTTAGGTTTTGTGTGTCATTGTCCATGTATATTCGACCATCTATATATTAAATGTCTGATGTCATTTGATTAGTTCAATTTGAAGCTGGGCTAACTTTTAACATGGCCTTTGGGCTTATTATTGCAATGTGTGTGTTTACTCCAAACCATTTATTTAAGTGTGCATTCTAATCATGTCTTCTGATTAGCTGAATTTGAAATAAGGCCTACTTCTAGAAATAGGGACATAATGGGATCAAACTTGGCCTTTGGGTTTATAATGACAATGCCTCTGTGTATACCTAACAATATTTCCATATTGATTTGGTCAAATGTCATTTGCTCATGTTGCTTGGCTGAATTATAAATGACTCCGACTCTTATAAATTGGACCAACTTTGGCTTTAGGTTTAACATGTTTAATATTTCATTGTCTCTCTATTTTCCCGACCATATGCATACAGATTATTTAGGTAAACTGTCATTTGATTGGCTAATTTGAAACAGGACTAACTTCTACCAATGGGGACCAAATTGAAGCATACTTGGCCTTTTATCATAACAATGTGTTCATCTAAATGTTTGCATACTTGTGCATGGTTAGCTGCATAGCCTTTGGGACTATTTTCCTTTTTTAAATGGGTTTAATGAGGAATATGTATTGCATTTTGCACATTAACATACACTTGTGCTCTATGCTGTTTTGAAATAATTTCCATTCCAGAAACTTCTGACATGGGCGTGGCATCTCCAGTGGTTCATACCACTATCCAGCCTTCTTTATGCTGTTTGGAGGCATGTTTAGAGTCTTCAGATTCTGATGTCATCACACGAAACATAAGGAAGACTATACCTTTGATACAGTCTGCTAGTGAAACTTGCATTTCCAATTCTATGTCTGAAGACGATGACTTGTCTGATGTGTTTCTGATGTTAAATGCTCAGCCTACGTCAAATAGCAAGCAGGAAGTTTGTGTGAGTATTGCACAGTACAACAGACACTAAAGTCAATTCAAACCCCAAACAGTCTGTGACTGTGTCAAAATCCACAAACACTTCAACTAAACGTGTTTGGGATAAAGTGAGTGCATGTGTGTATTGCCAAAGAGTCTATGCTAAGTTACCACGACACATGGAACAAAAACATAAGGATGAAATTGAAGTTGCTGCCATCTTAAGTTTCCCACGGAAATCTGCAGAGCGCAAGTTAAAATGGCAGAATCTCAGAAACAGGGGAAACTTTCACCATAACACAGAAGTTTTAGTCAGTGGCCAGGGGAGTATTATACCAGTGAAACGCCCTCCAGCAGATAGTGATGTTAGTGCTGGGGATTATCTGCCTTGTGAAAACTGTTTTGCATTTCTACGCAGAAAAGACCTTTGGAGACATGTTGCGACATGCAAATCCAAAGCTAATCAAGGTGGAATAGGGTCTTTTGGATAGAGGCAAATGCTGTGTTCAAACAAAACATACTAGATTCCATGACATATGATTCTGTGTCCATTGTTGTAAGGAAAGATGACTTAATTGTTCAGTTTGGATCCAGACTTTTCAGAACATGTGCAAACAATTCTCATCAATACCCGTATGTGAGGCAAAAAATGAGAGAGTTGGGAAGATTCTTGCTGAAAATGCGGGAGATTAATAAAGCAGTTACTGGACTTTCTGACTGTATGAAACCCACAATGTTCAAGGATGTTGTTCAAGCTGTGCAACACACTGCGAAGTTCAATGCAGAAAAGGGCTCTTATGACATACCATTATTGGCCTTGAAACTAGGACACTCCCTAAAAAAGTGTGCCAAGATTGTCAAAGCGTCTGCTCTAATTGTAGATGACAAGATGAAAAGAAAAGAGGCCGAGGGTTTCTTTGACCTGTGTGAAAGTGAATGGAACAGTGCTGTTTCTAGCTTAGCTTTGCAGACTCTGCATGTTAGGAAGTTTAACAATCCAAAGAGAATACACCTAGCAGAAGATGTCAAGAAGGTCAACCAATTTCTAAAGGAGAAAGGTGATCTGATCTTCAAATCACTTGAGTCGTTTCCGTGTCAAGATACATGGAGAGCTTTAGCAGAAGTTGTACTTGCTCAGCTTGTGCTTTTCAATAGGAGAAGGGGAGGGGAAACCGAAACGAATGGAGTTGAGTCAGTACACTGACAGAATGATGGCTGATGACAGGTTGCAAGAAGAAGTGGCACAATCTCTCTCATCGTTTGAACGCGAACTGACACGCATGATATCTCGAGTAGAAATTCGGGGGGAAAAGAGGAAGACCTGTTGCTGTGCTTCTGCCAGATCATCACAAGGAAAAAATAGAATGTTTGAACAAACATCGAGATGCTTGCAAGATAAATAAAGAAAACAAGTATCTCTTTGCTCGTTGTGGTGAGAGTCGGTCACCCATAAGAAGTACTGATGTGTTGAGGAAGTTTAGTATTCAATGCAACGCAAAATCACCTGAGCTTTTGACTTCCACATCACTCAGGAAACATGTGGCCACTGTATCCCAGATACTGAATTTGAAGGACAATGAGTTGGACACTTTAGCAAACTTTCTGGGGCATGATATCAGGATCCACCGAGAGTACTGCCGTCTAACAGAAAATACCATCCAGATAGCAAAGGTCAGCAAAATCTGAATTGAACTCGAGAAGGGGACAATTCAAAACTTTGCCGGAAAATCATTAGAAGAGATACAGATGGATGTTGATGGTGAATATTCAATTCATAATTTTAAATTTCATCTTTAATTTGCATGATTGATGTTCGCAAATGACCGTTCTATATTTTTGTTTATCAAACTTTGCACAGATATTAGGGTAGCCATTTTTGTTTGACTTTTTAAACCAAGGAAGGGTTCATTCCCACAACATAACTTGTGAACCATTTGTGAACTGTCAGATGTTTCCACACTTATCAATCATGTGGTCAACTGGTGACATTACGGGTGCCAGCCTACTACTTGGAGTAACAAATGATTGATACTTTTCTGGAAAACCCCAGTGTATGTGATCCATTGCTCCCAGTGATCTTCTCAAACTAACACCACCCTACTTTCCTCAATTATCATGATTAGTGGTTAACTACTACCACAACTCGTACATCTCATATCTATTTACATTAGATGGCTAAGGTACCAGTCAGTTAGCAGCATTATATTAATCAGTTATTATTCAGAGCTGTTGACTTTTTAGAACAAGTCCCAGAATGCACACACTAGAACATATGGTTTGCTGTTTCAGAGGCAGTAGAGACTGAGGTTGATGAGACACAGGACATGGACATTAAACATGTTGAGGACTTTAAAACAACTGTCCCAGAGAGTGACAGTCCTGCAAATGGTGGCACACCCACCCAAGAGTGGAGAGGTATACCTCTTAGATATATCTATCATATCTTCATGTAGTCTTGTGTGTCTTAGCATAATTTATCTTGTCAAGATTTTGGTTTCCACAAATCCTCCAAAGGCGTCAACCTTCCATGCGAGATGTTTGGTTCAGTTTTGGGTGTTTTGTATGAAAATTTGTGATGCAGAACTAGCTCCAATAAGAGACAATTTTAGAGTGTTCTTGTTTGAAATTAAAGCACCTATAACTAAAAGTTTTTTTTTTACTTTGCAGACATGTTTAGAACATTAACTGCTCACAATTGTGATTTGCTGCTTTCACAGTTTTTGTCTTACACCTGTCAAATTGTAAACAGGTGCAGATGGGAATGGCGGGATGATTTTAAAATCTACTACAGGAAGCTCCCAAAGCTCCAATCCTACATCAGTCACAGACGTAATGTGTACTTGTGACGGCTCTGCCGTCTCTTGTACGCGAGACGGGTGCGGACGGCAGTACTCAGTGCATGTACAGTTTTTTTCAGTTATGATTTTTCTGTTCAAGGTAATGGTACAACATGTGGAACAAGAAAAAAGAAACGAGTCTGTCAAGCTGTAAAGTGACAAAAATGGTCAAAAGAAGAGAGAGAAGCTATTGAAAGACAATTGGGAAAATTCTACTTTTTGAAATCACTGCCAGGAAAACTCAACTGTGAAATGGCAAGGCAAAACGAACCTGTTCTCCTGCAACAGCCTTGGAAGCAGATTAAGTATTACATAAAGAATCACAAGTAAATGTGTCAAACTGTTTGTCCCTGAGAGTTTACGTTGTAATTATGAAGCGCCCTTTGACTCAAAAAAAGGTCTTTAGCAACAGTAATGTCATTATCATTGTCTGCTTTGTGAGGTTACGGTCCTTTCTTTTAGACATCAAAGTGAGCTTGGGTTTTGTTATGGCCCTTTGTCCGTCCATCCGTCTGTAAGCTGTTCACAAAACTTCTTCGCACTAACTACTGGGTATATGTTGCCGGGCAACAATGAAGTGTGTTTTTTATTGTCCTCTCATGTTGCAGTACATTGTAAACTCAATTTTCATTGGCCAAGGTATGTGTAACCACCAACCAATAAATCATTTACAATTACTGAATTGTAAACATGGGAGTACTGTTTTACAGCAATAAAACTACTGTATTCGACGTAATAAGCGCCCAGGGCGCTCACAAAATTAGGAATAGGGGGCTCTTATTAGAATATTATTTTGGTGAAAAAACAGAGTTGAAAGATAATGTTTATGTATGACAGATGTATTTTTCCAGAATTAAATTGGCCATAATTAAGGATGCATATAACACACAAGTGTGTATCATACGCGAATAAATAAGTCTTGTGTACACTGATCAGTTGGAAGGGGTGCTAATTGGGATTGTTCACTTGCCAATATATTAACAAATATCGCCCTGGGCGCTTATTGGAGAGGGGCGCTTATTACGTTGAATACGGTATTTGTGTTCAGTTTATGAGCAAACCCTGGCTGTTTTTGATGATATTTATTTATTATTTATTTATATAGCTTGGACCAAAGAGTTACTTTTACCAAATTTTACCAAAATGTTATAGTTATATTTGGGATATTACATTCTCGTTAAAGGACATATTATATGACTTCTTCTAGGGTTGCATCAAAACTGGGGTTCACACCCACAGTACTCAATGGCAGCGATCTGTACCACTTTGCCACATTAAGAAGCAAGTTCAGCAATTGGTAGTCTGGAACACTTAAACCAGTCTTATAGATGTAATTGGCACGGATGGGACACGACCCCTATTACAACATATATGCTAGAATCTCTACAGATGTTTATGATAAAGTGGAAGCTTGCAAGAAAAGGACCTGGCGAGTTAGGCAGGGGATATAGAAACACGTTCATTTGTCTGATGTTGCTATTGCTTTCACAGAAATGTAAATTCTGCAATTCTGTAACTCTGTGCTGAATTCGTCTGGGACTGAACTACTGTGTGTATCACTATGATCATTTGGGTACATGTTCTCGGCGTAACTAGCTACAGTAAAGTAGGGGCGGTCGGGTAGCCTAGTGGTTTAAGTGTTTGCTCGTCACGCCAAAGACCTGGGTTCAATACCCCACATGGGTAAATGTGTGAAGCCCATTTCTGGTGTCCCCCCGCCGTGATGTTGCTGGAATATTGCTAAAAGCGGCTTAAAACCGTATTCACTCACTCACTCTCTACACTAAAGTAGGGTTTCGATTTGAAAAATTCAAAATGTCCACTATGGCAACAGTCATAAATATGAAGTATAGCCTGCAAACTCCAAAACTACTGCATATATTATGTTTTTTCATATTTTAGGAATATGTTCATGATCAAACTTCTGGTACATGTATTTTCTTTAAAAACAATCATGACAGATTACGAATAATTCATCATGTTAAAAGGTCAAAGGATATTTCACTTCAGATTCAGATGAGGTGGACACCATGAAAAACAAGGTGATTGCTGTAGCTAGTAGGTGTATTGTTGAATTTTAATGATGCTGTGTACCAAGCTTCATTGACAGGACATGATTGTTTATTTTTAGTCCCTTAACCATGTTAACAGTATTAATTTTAAAAACTTAACCAATTTCGAATTGGATCATCTTCCTTCAATCAAATCTAGTTACAGCATTGAGTCTGAATTTTTATAAAATAAAGGTGAGCATCAGTGCCCCAGTTACTATTTAGTTATATTTAGCAGTTATTACAGATAATTTTGTGAAGTAAGGCATATCCCTTCATTTTGCAAGAAACCCAATAAGGTGGACAAGTCCATTTCCCACTGAATGGAGTTTGATGAGTGTCCTGATTTAATTAAATCTGTTTCATCTGCATTTCTTCAAGCCATTATCTTTTATTATGTTTGCTCATATGTCAAGTACATACAAATATGAGGAGAATTGGCATAAGACATGCTTTAGAGCAAATGGCTCTTTTTGGTTTTGACACTTCGTCTAATGTATCTTGTTACATTTATCATTGTTTATGATAATGGGTTTCCTTTGAATTTTATTGATGATTTTGTCGTTCCATTTGTATCAATGTCCATTTCTTTCTCAATTTTTGTGGCAATGTGTTAACATGTGTAAGTTAGTACACATTGCTGTATTATGGTTAGAAGTTGGATTTAGGTATAATGTGCCAGTGTGTGTACATAGCGGACGACTTTAATACATTAACATTAATGAGGTCATCTACCTTGTTTTACTTGCAAACAGATGCTCCAACGCTTTCAAATAGCATATAACATACAGCCAGCTACATAGTACTTGAGCATATTGGTGTACTGCAAAATGTTAAATTGTTATTTGAATGTTAGTCATGAATGAAAACTCAAAAGCCCTGATGCTCCATGAAATCGGATAATTGAAACAGCTGAATGTTTCATGAAAGACTCACTGATGTCCTCATCAAGGCACAGCTCAAAATAGCACTCACTTTAGGTCTCGTTTGTGATATCCAACAAGGACCTCACGATGAAGTTATTGAACATCGAAGTAATATCACCCCAAGGTCCGTGCCTCACCATCAAAATAGTACACACAAACACACACACCAAGGTCATCAGTTGAGTTTCTTCAAGCCATTTATCTTTATAAGAGCCAATAGCTCTTTTTGTTTTGAAACTAAATATAATGTTTTGTTAGGTTTGGGTAAGATTTCACAATGTTCTTTTGTTTTTGTTAGTGATGTAGACAGCTGTCTTTTTCATACTGGCTTTAGACCGCAAAGACCACTTTACTGTTTTTACGTATTAGGATACCTTGTTTCCAACTGATGCAATTCAGAAACTGTTTTTGTGTGGTTCTTCAGGTTGTTTTTTTTAATATTGTTACTTTGTTGACATCTCTGCCCACCCTTAATTTTAAAAAAAATGTTTACATAAAATTAAACCTTCAGCAATAAATTCTTTTTTTATTTTGCTAAATCCATGAAGATTTCAGCAATCTAAAAATTGATATTTTTATTTTACCTGCAGATATATTTCTTTATGAACATGATCAAATAACTTTCAATATGTGTTGAGATTTTCGACCATTGACTCTGAGAAAAAAAACAAAATAACTGCCTTAAATATAAGAGGAGTGACAGTAAGTATCACCTTATGAGTGCATAGCGATATGTTTAACACAATAGGCTCTTATTGAGAGAAATGACTGATCTGAAAGGTGATTTTACCAAATTTCATCATGAAAAGTTGCATATCTATTCCAGAATAGCCTGTTGTCATGGCTGTGATAGACAGGATTTTTATGTGATGACATAAAACTTCATGATGCCTTTTTTCTGTATTTAACAGGATTGTATGGAAATTATCAATATTTTATATTATACTCGCGTGATAATGTTTTCAAATAGTGTCCCATCCCTGCCATTGAGGTAATTCAGGAGTGGTTAGCTGGCCTAAAGGGACAACATTTTGCTTTTTGTCATAATGGAGAAACTCCAATTTTTATGTATTTTTAGAACTTGTTTAAGGATTTTCATTTGAAATAAAACAAATTTATCAAGATGCTGCATTATATATTTTGGGGGCATGCAACATTAATCTACGACAATTGCAAAAGTGGAGACAAGTTACCAGAGACGGAGATCAGTTTTCCTCTTTTCTCATGAATACATCGTTGGTATATGTATAATATGTAATATTAACACTAACAATTTGATGGGTTCGAATCTCGGTTCACCCGGATTATGTTTCTATGTTTGTCAGCACCATACATGGGTTTCACCAAAGTAGTAAACGTCCTGCATCACTTCAAGCTTACCTCTCACATTAAGCAGACATGCCGTGGTATAAAGGGAACACTGTTAAAAGCGGCATTAAACCCAACTCACTCACTCACTCCCTTGCTCAAAACATTTGCCAGATGACTTTAGTTTCCACTTTGGGCTATCCAACAGTTGTTCGCTGCTGGACTTTTGGATTTTGACAATCAATCACAATCAATTATCAAATATGAGATTTGGATATTGAATATGATTTACCATATGGATATTAAAAACAAGTTCTTTTTAGGAAAATAGTGTTAAAAACAGATTTTGTAAGGAAAAACATTTCCATAAGATGACTTCTAAGCTCACCTTGACCTTTTGGCCCAAGTGAGCCAATGTCATGGATTGTTTGTTCATTGTTACTTGATTTAAAAACAACTTTGAAACCACTTAACCTGTGAAGGTGAAACTAAGTGAGTACATATTCCTCTCCTATACTGAAAAAGTGTGAAGACCCACCTGATGTTTTTCATATTACTTTTGTTAATCATGTTATGCCATGACACATTGATGATAGTAATTTAAAAGGATCGGGTGGCTTTTAACCCTTTTTGAGTCGTATAGGATGACACCATGATCTGTTCAAATAACGTTGATCCAAATTTCAATACCCCATATTGAATACAGCTATATTTAGCAATTAGTCTAATTTTGAAGTAAAAAGTATGTAGCAAGTGTGCAGTTGGTCTTATCAGGTCGTATGGTAGGCCAGTCTCTAGATTATCAACCCCATTGTAATCTTTTCACTTTGACTTTTCCCACATGTTATATGCAAGTAGAGGACAGAAGTGCTAATAAATTTTGAATGGCTGTATTTCTTGTTAATGCTACAGACATTTGGTCATTACTGGACAGGCTTATTCCACACACCAAGGTTATATTACACATCCTCATTATGATGACTATGCTTGTCGTAAGAGAAGACTAACAGGATCGGGTGGTCGCGGACTTGGTTGATACATGTCATCGATCCCAATTGCGTGGATCGATGCTCATGATATTAATGACTGGATTGTCTGGTCCAGACTTGATTATTTTCAGACCGCCGTCATATAGCTGGAATATTGCTGAGTGCGGCGTTAAACAAAAAAATATTCATCCAACATCCATCCTCATTATGAAGGCATTGTTATACACCACAAGGGCACACGTAATCCGGGTACTCACAATGAATACTTTGAGGTATTAATCAGAAGAGCTAACACACCGCCTTGCTTATAACACATCCAAGTCCTCGAGATGAAGGCATTCTCATACATCGCAAGGACACATACTCAGGTCCACGCTTATCACACATCCAGGTCCTAGTAATTAAGGCATCGCAATACATCTTAAGGACATACACACTCCATTCCTCGCTGATCACACATCCAGGTCCTAATGAAGGCATCGCCATACATCTTA